AGAATCGTAACTGCGATTCCAGAGAGGGATAGCCGCGTAATTAGTTTGCCTTTGATGAGAAAACTCGCGATCTACCTGCACCACGTACGCACTTTACGCAGGGGTTGCATCGATGCCGGAACAGGGGTGCCGTGGTAAAGCTTTACGCTGCCAGCTCTGGGCCGAGAGTCGGACGCGTGAACGATCGAACCCGACGGTGAAATTGAAGGGTGCTTCGAAAGTCGGATCGCGAAAGATTTGAGGGCTGGTTGAAAACGATTTCACCCAGCTAGTTCAACGGTATCGTGTCAAGGAACTTTAAGGGAGCACTTTGCGGTTTATACTGAAGGAGGGTTTTGCTAAATCTACTTATAGGGATTGAAGTCTTTTTATAATTTAAAAAATTATCGAGCTTCCAAGGTTCGATTATTTCAGCCTTTAGATTTTTACAAAAATTGCACCCTTATTTCATTATTTTTATCTCACATAATTTGGGGATGTTTGAAGGTTTATTCTTGGAGCTTCGATACTTAAACAAAATTTTTTTATTTAAAATTAGACGAGTTAATTTATTTTTACCAATTAATTAATAAAAATGAAGGGTATAAATATTTGCATCTATCAAAGAATAAATTAAATTTGTATTAAACCTAGAAATCCGTAGAATTACGAGCAACGTGTCGAGTATATCGCTAGTGAACCGAGACATAAAGAGGGATGCGCTGTTAAATAGCTCTTTCTGTAAGAAATCGACCAAGCGAGGAACACAAAGGAATCAGGATCGTTCTTTGCACCGTTAAAGGGCTCCACTACCTCCTGACTAACCTGGCGAAAAGATTTTCTCGTCACTACCCTTCTCATCCTCCTCTGCTGCTGTTTCTTTGGTTAATCTCCCACTTTTCAAAGTCTTGCGCGAAACGATTGAAGTTACTTCGCGTGCGATAATTGCGGCTCCAGGAAAGTACTGATTTTAGTTAATGGCTTACGAATAAGAGAAATTAATCCTGTTTCTCTGTTTTCCTTTGTTACCAACAGAAAAATTGATATACTTTATACAAATATTATTTCTCTTTTTTTCTAACTCTCAGATGGCGGACCATGGAGAGAGCCCCAATTTTAATTTTAATACATAAAACTGTTTCGTTGCTTGACGCGTGATTCAGAGCTGTTTTTTTAGAAAATTTAGTTCTTCTTTTTGAAACTTTCCACCGGATTATCGTAGCCCGTCCATTCCCCTTCATTTCACCGATCGTCATTATTTCCCTCGATTTTCCACCTTTCTCCATCCTTCATTTTTATCCTCGTCCAGACAAAACGAACTCGCTTCGTACGCCGAAGGAATTTCTACGCGAAACGTTCCTCTTCTCCCGAGCTTTTCGAGTCTCCGTTTCCGAGGAAACGTCTTTCAGCGGAGTCAGCTTCGAATTTTACCTTCGACGAAGCTTCACGATGCCCGTACACGCGCGCGTACGGTTTCCACTCGTCGATCTTTCGTTATACGATAAGAGTTTTAACCCGAGCACAAGAGAACTCGACAACGAGTTCGTTGTTTGGAGAAATCGAACCAACCGGACGAACGATCGTGTCTCCTGTCACACGGATACTTCCTACAAACTTTACAATGATTTATTTTTTATACAAAAAAAATCTTGACACTCGTTCACAGGAGATGAAGAAAATTAAATACAAAAATGAAGAGTAAAAATACCCATGCTTAAAATTTCATTGCAAATAAATGTGCAACTTTACAATAAATTATTTTATTTTCCAAAGAAAAGGATTATCAAAGGATTCCATTTTTCTTCCCAGTTAAATTATCATTGTTGAACTTTAAAAATAAATTGTTTTCCTTAAGAAGTCTACTAGTTCAATTTCCAATATTATTCTCTGAAGATACACACGTTCGTTTCAATATATTTACCTGAGAAATCCATATTCTCGAAAATGAACATCACGACAAATACGAAAACGCGAAGCGTTCTATACGCTTTGACCTTTTTTTTTCCTCTCTAGCGAGAGAGAAACGTTTTTCGGGGCTGATTCATATCCAGCGGGCGTTCTCTCTATCAGAGCAGGGCAATATCGTCGCGCTTCGCCAGCCAAATTTCATAAAATACGCGCGAGTAAGTAGGGACGCGAAATCAAATAATACTTGCTGTATTAAATGCCACGAACAAACAGGTGTAATTATTCGGCAGCCAAGCGAATAGCAAATAATTATCGATGATTCGCTGCATTTCCACGACGAAAGTATCGCACTAGCCAGCCCGGCCGGAACTAAATTAACGCGGTTGCGTGTAATAACAAACGAATTCCACGGAATCGATGGTGCATTGCCCCGGGACTATACCGTGAATTTCGAGGGGGAAAAAAAAAAGAGAGAGAGAAAAAGAGTAGCCCGTTTTCGAGGAACGATGCTGGGAGTTTGCTCGAGGCCAGCACACGGAACCGACCTTTAGATTCAGTCTGTTCAATTAACAATCGACGATTTATTGAATCGTATCGTTTTGGATGGATCAATAAGCACTTTGAATCATAAATGTTTGAATTTTAAAGTTATTTGAAAATTTTTGAAAAATAATATTCTGAGGACCACTTGTTATGTTACATTGTATTTATCAATGAATTCTGTAATTTGTTGTTAAGCAATCAAGATGTAAATTATTGGAAAATTAAAAGATTTTTAATAGAAATACCAGAAAATTAAAAAATTTGTAATTGAGAAACTATGTTTCTTGTTATTAGTGAATTGTCCATTTATGACCCATAGAAATAAATAATTTTCTATTTCCTTCAGACCTTGAAAACTTTTTCATTTTCAAGAACTAATAAACCAATTAAGACTTTCGTAATTTTTAATAGTTTCAAGAACTGTTGACGTCGCAATCAATCGCAGATTCCGCGACAGGTTAATTGAATTGCTTGAAAAATTGTAGCAAAAGAGAATATTGAACAAATATCCATTGCTGGTTACGGTAATTTTCATCACGGTCTAATTATTATGATATTCAGAGGGAGAAACGAAGGGGTACGAAAAATTGGGCAAATTTACGAGTCATCGTTCCAGCCGGCGGCAACCCAATTCCGGCCAGGGTAATTAAACGGTCGTTAATTAACAAAGAAACGCGTGCAACCGTTTGCAGCTTACTTTGGGAACAACGCTGGCCCGGAAATGAAACGGGAGACGTGAGATGAAATGTTTTCGCTATCAATTGTCAACCGTTGGACCGCGAACAACCCTGGAAAAGGTATAATTGAATGGCGAGAAGGTGGGAAAACCATTTCATGGAAAATCACGTTCACTTGAAGGATCGATGAGTTTAATCTTGACTTTACTTCAAGAAAATTCAATGAATCAGTTGGTTCATTTCAATCTTGGAAGGTCTAGCATGGTTCCAATACAAAATATTTGTATTTTCTTGAAAAATATAAATGATGAATAATTAAAAATTTTCAATTAATTCTCTCCTAAAATAAAATTGAGAAAATCACGACCCAAAATTATATTTAAAAAAAAGAAAAAATTATTGCGTTTGATAAATTTATAAAGATTAACAATTTAAAAATTTGAGAATTCCTTATATCGCCATTTTTTCCTAGAGAAACCTGATTTGATTCTAAGTGCATTCAAATACAGATATGCAGAAATTATAATTAAATCTTCCAATACCATTTGTAAATGTGGAAGACGGGATCTCATTGTCCATACTCGAATTAATCCGTTGCATTTAGACGCATAAAGTTCGGCTGGTCGATGAGCCGTTAATTAGCTTCCACGTCACGGACGCACCGGTATCAAACGGGATGAACGGTGGGATCGTATCCACCTTTCCTCGTGAAGTAACACGTACACGCTAGTGTACGCAAACAATACACTATATAGCGAAAATTTCGCGCGAACCGACGCATAGAAACCGACCCACCTGCCGGCGGAATCTAAAGTATTTTCGAAACTGTTCACCCCCGTGTTCTCGACGTGTTTCGAAACAATATATTCATCTGTATAAAAATAAATATCGAACAACCACTAAATCAATTTCAATTCCATTAATAATAAATATTAACAAGAACCGAACGTGTTCAACATTTGTTGGATTGATTCTGATTTTACAACTCCGTTCGATTGTAAAATAATTCTACCCTCTGGTATTCAATTTTCCCGTGAAACAACTCAATTTTCCAACACCGTGGACACGATCAATCGCTCAGCCAGCTGTGTACCACGATTATAGCCTGCCAATGTACACGGTAACCCTAACGATTTCGGAAATTTTGAATATTTCAGCGGGAGAGAGCCGAGGGAGAACGCAATCACCGCCTGTCCGACAGAGGAAATGTTTCACGACAATGGTATACAAAGCTGAAATTAATTAGCTGCAGACTTCCGAACCCGTTCGGTTCGATAAAGTGTTGGGTCAGCTTGAATGTATATACGAATCTATCGTGAATAACGTAACAGCTACCGCCCAGTGGTTCCTGTACTCCCAACGACATGGCCGCAAAACTTCACCCTTCTGTATCTTTCTCTTTCTCGCGTTGGTTAGCCTTGTCCAAACCCTAGTGTCCCGTGAAACTTTGCTTCAACGTGCCGCGAACCCGGCTACAACTTCCCCTCTCGACCGAGACTGGGTCAAGTCTGCAGGCCTTGCGGCTTTCCCAACGGAAATCCGCTTCGTGACGTCGGAAACATTAGATTTCTGGCTTTGGGTGGTGTTTTTTAAATGAGAAGATGAGTGATGGGTTTGATCGATGAATAGATTCATTGACTTTCATCACTTGCAGACGTTTTGACCTAATAATTTTTAGGTCATTATATGAGAATTTGAAAACTTTCCAACTATCATGCAAGGATCAGTCTTGAAAGATCAAAGTGGATATTCAATTAAAAACTATTAAAACTATATTAAACACCTAAAAACTTCAACCCCTAAAAAGAAGCCAAAATTATCAGAAGAATCGAAAGATACTACTAGAAGAAGACGACTCGATTCGCGTTTATAATAGGATCGCTCGTGTTTCAGAGGGTGTGCGAGACACAATTGGTGGTGGAGGGTTGCACGAGGGTGGCAAGGTGTCGAAGAGGTCGAAACCTGTGGACCCGGACGAGGAGAGCCACGACAACGAGGACTACTACTACGAGGACGTGGATGAAAGAAACAATCCGACGAACGAGGCACCGGTTGTGCCGCCCGGATTCCTCAGTCCCTCTGTAAGGGAGTATCTCGATCTCGGTAAATCGATACCTGGTACGTAAACAAGATCATCTAGCGAGAAGTTGCCCCTTTTGCGACCCGTTCCTCTTCTTCGTATTCCTTTTTCTTTTACCCTCTGTGCACACGTTCAGGAATTTCCTCTTTTTCAGACTTCTCTCTTTTATCCACCCTACCTTCCCTGTTTCGCGAGCTTCCTTTTTCCAGACGAAACACGCTTTTGAAATCGCGAGCGTGAAAACGAGTCGACAAATAAAAATCACCGGCAATCTCTTGGGGACGATGTTACACCTGGGATTATAGGAAATTTTTTTCTAAGCGATTAACCCTTTATGTCATCGAGGGTGTAGAGGAAGATTTGGGAAAATTTCTTTTTGCAAATATTTTTCTTACGAGATGCAAAAATTAAAAATTATTCTACAATATCAATTTGAACAATGATTATAATATTCAATATTATATAATTTTAATTACTTTATCTCACAATTCTCCCAGTATCAACGCTTGATACTGTAAAAGTTCAACAAAGATACAGAGACACTGTACATCAGCATCATAGAGATCCCCGTGGAGGAAGAGGAGAGAGAGGAGCGGAGGGGTCGTGGAAATTGGTCGTTCGCGAGGAAACGGTGCATTTAAATTCGTTTCTTCGTGTCCCTTCTTTATACGACGGAATACTATCTTTCGACAAGTTCCCTCGGTTTAAGCGAGCGCTTTATGCGATTGCGGAGACGCGGAACGAAAGACGAGAAATAAATACATAGACGGTTATTGCTCGCCGAGGTATGCCGCGTATTGTCTCGTTCCTCTTCACCTGGAACCGTTTTTATTCCGACCTCTGGCGTCTGGAAGATTGCCTCCAAGGGCATTTATTAGACTCTATCTAGGTCTACCCTCCAATTTCCTCAACTGTTTTTTTCAAATTCTCTCAAGGAATCTCTTTTTTTATTTAAACAAAGCAGATGAATTCAAAGCTACCCCCGAAAAGGCTTAAAAATACAGTTTTTCTATTTTGAAAATTCTTCGTACGGAGAAGAGGAGTGTTGTGGAAAGAGGTCTTTGCGAATGGATTTATGAGGACACGCGTGTAATGGCCGATTATAAAACAGACGCGGTAAATTAAATGTTACTTGCTGGAAGAGACACGCCTTTCTTCTGGGGCGAAGCTGATACCAGCTGCCTGGTAAAGTATGACCATGAAGATAGGGTGAAAGCCGTTTAGGTTACATTTTGCATGCTCCTTTGAACGAGGGTTTAGTCGATAGAATCGCTGTTTGAAAGATGATTCTTTAACCCGTTACCTCAAGATTTCTGTTTCCGATTATGTGGAACCATGGTAAATTAGCATGCGGAAATGAACATGTGATAAAATGTTTCTTCAAATATTTGGAAAAATAATTTGAAAGATTCATTTCAGTAACTTAAAGGGTTAACTGTTTAGAAAAAATATTTCAGTACAGTTAAAAATTTCCAAAAACATTTTCCTATATGAAAAATATGATATTTATAGAAGCAATAAAAAATGTATAAAATAAGAATTTAAAATTAAATTTGAAATCTAAGGGTTAAGAAAAGTATTAAACATCAAGGAGCATCAAATAACCACTTCAAATTCTTTCATTCTCCCTCTGAATATCCCGTTCACCCTTTTCTCGAGTAGCAAACCGATAGCACGATATCCGATTATATCGTGGCGAGGATGAAATCCGTTCAATCCGTCGTAATTATTTTTCTCAATGTCGATCCGATTAACGTGGTCCCAAGACGGACTTAAGCGTTTCGAGGATTCCGATGGACCGGTCGACGGAACGGAGTCTCGCGTTACGTCGATTATCGATCACAAATTCTGGGACAATGGGGTGTTTCGTTGTGCAGCCAGTCCACCGCAACTCGTCACGCCACCCCTCGAACACGTAACACCTATTGTGACAGAGGGGATGTTATTGTGGACGGCATTTTCCGCAATCCCCATACCCAAAGATCCTGATTCTAACGATAAATGCCATAGATTTTTCTAACTTTAGATTCTGCAAGTTGCGAGTTCGTCCATTAAGATTAAAATTTTTATTTAATTAATTAAACTATCAGAAGATTTGTAAAAAATATAAGTATATTATTTTCGAGGAAATTTATTAGAAATTTTCTTTTCCTAATTCTTTGATATTAAAAGAAACACTATAGATCAGAAGATAAAAATTAGCTAAGAAATCCAAAACAGATAAAGAGGAAGAATAAAAAAAAAAAAAAAGAGATGGAGGGAGAGCAAGTCGGGTTGCGTTAAATCGATATAGCACAGCGTAAACTTATCTCATTGTCTTAACGTTCCTCTCTCAATCTCTCGAAGGGTTGCGACGGAACCGACCTACCCCCACGTTTCGACCCCTCCACCATCGCACCACTCTCGGATAGGATAATGAAATACCCAAGAGCCCGGGACGCGACCTCTGCACCAGAGCAAAGGCGCCAGATCCTGCGGGAGCATTCCAGGGGCTGCAGGACCAACGTGGCAAGGGGACGAGGCCAGAGAACAGAGGCTTGCACCCTCCTTTTCCTACCACCCTCCTGCTCACCGGCGAACCCGGTTCAACCTAACCGTAGGTCTCATTTCGTGCGTTTCACGACGCGTACGAGCGAGCACGCGCGGACAGAGAGACGAAGCGGAAAAGGAGAGAGGGGAAAAAGAGATAGGGATGGAGGGAGAGAAGGATGAGACAGCAAACCTCGTCCCGTTCGCCTGACTGACTTTATGACGATGGCTGCCACGAGGAGACATAAAAGAGAGAAAGAGGGAGACCGGGTTGAGGAGACAGTCCTGGTTGATGCATTTTCCCGGGCGTTCGTCCTTCATTTGCCAAACAGCAGGATAGCTTTCCATCCTTCGAAACGAAACGATCGGCTGGCGAACCACCCTTACCACCCTTCGGCTATTTTCCAACCTTACCGTGAATTTCTTGCACCGACCATCCAGTACCTTCCTTACAATTTCTTCCCCGGCATGGTGCTACTTCGAGCTATGATTTTTTTAAGAAAAATTAAATCATGATGCATAAGTTATTTTTGAAAAAATTAGGATAGAATTAAAGATGGTACTCTGGTGAATTTTATAGTTTAGAAAATCTACTAATTTTTATAATACGATTCCTCGAAACACTCACCCCTTAAAACGCACTGGCAAATTGCAATCCCCAAAGTACAGATACACCAAACTCGAAAACGAGCTGCTAACCATAATCTCTCATGATATCATTCCACAACCCTCAACCGTCGCAACATAATCGTACCTCCAATTTGTATTTACATCAACCCCTATAAAATACCATCCTAATCACATCCCCTAGACGCGCATTAACATTCCAGCACCATGGTTAAGCGTTAACAAAAGGGTAGCTGGAGGAAGTGTAGTTATATCTACCGGCGAAGGAACGAAATAATTAGAACGATCGTCGACGCGTTACGGAAGGGATGAAAAGCCGAGAATATGCGGTGTTTCGCGTCGCCGAGGCGAGAGTCCTGGGAAGTTATAATTACCTGGACAACGGCGTACTCGCGACGGCGACGCGAGGCGACGCGACGCCTCTGAACAAAGGCGTTAGAGGAGTCGATTGAAAAGGGAGGTGAGGCTGCAAGGCGAGAGAAAGAGGGACGCGTACGGGACGTTTATTCCGTGCGGGTACACGGAATCTCTTCCGGTGACAAAACAGGTCGGACAAGCGGCGGAAGGTGCGAATTTCGTATGGATGTCACCGCGATACGGACGAGTTTGCGACCATGCTGGAAAGTGCACTCGTCGTCTCTCTCTAGCTGTCATCTAGCCAGGATGCGCACCGTTCTGCTCGCAGCAATAACAAGCGTATTCCTCGCCCGGCGAGATCCGTGCGCGATGTGCAACCTGAAACTATGCTGCTCGTCGAATGAGATTCGAATAGCTATGGGGCAGGAGGAACATCGAGCGACAGGGTGAATGGAGAAAAGGGAGAGACAGAGAGGGTGTACCAAGTGATGCAAAGTTGTTTAGACGGACAACGGAGAGGGGAAAAGCTTCGCACGGTTGGTTATAATTCGTTAAGAAGCTTTGCCAGCGGACCGAGTTCGCGCGTTCCAGCTCTCTCTCTCTCTCTCTTTCTCCCTTTCCGGTAATCCTTCCTACGACTGTTGATCGTGTTCCTTTGGCTTTCTTCATTTTTTCTAGACATCAGATGATGCGAACCCCATTTTTATTAAAATTATTGTATTTCTGGGAATTAATTTATAAGAGGTAATTTATCATCTGAACACAAATTGATGACGGACCATGGAGAAAGACCCAATTTTGAATTTCATCGTTTCTTAACCAAATGCAAGTAATTTCTCACGGAAACTAATAATTCCTGCTGAATAAACCTTCTTGAATTTTAACAATCAATCGAACGAATGAAATCTGGCGAAACGAGGAGAATACAAGAGGGGATAAATACGCGAGGGACGGGACGCAAGGGGTTGCCGTTGTATCTGATCTCGAAACGATTGATGTCTCATTACGAGCGACTCGAATCGATGAAATCCCATGGTATTATTCGTTAATGGATGCCGCCGCTAAAGAGAAACATTATTGGCAACCGCATTACAGACGAATCGGAGCACAAAGTATAATCTTGGGAAAGGGAGGCACGTTAAGAAGCTTCCCTTCGAAAAGAAGAATTCAAGAATGTTTCCATACGAGTTGATAACGATAACAACGAGGCGAACCGATGGCGATAGCAAAGAGACAAACGTGTTTATCACCAGGCTCGTTAGAACGATGCTACGTAAGAGAATGAGTAAGACGATGGAAGAGAGGAGGGGAAAGGAATCGGTAGGAAAACGTTCTTTGATTCGCTCGTACACGACGAGTTTTGCTTATTTATTCCGGCCCAGCAATTCGAGACTGAAGGCTCTTAGAGCAATTTCCTTCTTTACGCGAGCCACTCGTTGTGTTTTCTCGGATATTTGTTGATGCTCGACCAGCTTGCTTTTACCTTCGTTTTAACGGCGTTCCAGTCGCTCCGCTGGATGTCTTTACAAATTCAACGGGAATTCTTTGGATTTCAATTAGAATCGCTGGAATTGTGCGTGGAACAGGATAGATTCCAGATACGAACAAAGGAGTAACGTTGTTGTACATTTGATTAAGATAATTAATTGCCAGGTGAAGATGGGGGTGGCAATATAATTTTTGGATAAATTGGATTAATTTTCAATATCAGATTTTATCTTTTTTAAATCTTAATAATTTCTCAATTTAAGATTTTAAGGTTTCAAGGTTCTAAAATTCTAAAATTCCAAAACTCCAATTTTTCTAAGGTTCTAAGGTTCCAATATTCTAAAAATCTAATTAATAAAGCTAAGGGAGCTAACCTACCCCAGAAACAAATCTTAATCACGTCAATGTAATTGTTGCAATTATTTATCGACGAATGTGTTAATTAATTCAAGCATATACGAATATCGTGAATAATCGATGGATTAAACGTTCGCGACTGGTTATCGTTGGTTGTAAACGATTTGAGAGACGTTGGATGTACAATTGGCAGTCAGTCGACGAACGTCGATAGCTGGCGGGGTGCCTGTGCTTTGTGCAGGTAATACAGGTGTCAGGTGAGCCGAACACGTACGGTGCATCTCGGCTCGTTGCATTTCCAGCGATTAATCGAGGATACAACTAACCCGACCAGTCTGCGGACGAAGCTTTGCTTCAGCCTCCACGGTATATCCGTTCATGGAAATCATGCAGCCGGAAGCGAATCGGTTTTGAGGAAGGGACTACGATCACGGTGTTACTCATCTCTCTCTCTCTCTCCTTGTCTTCGTCAGCCGTCAACGAAATCGTCCTGTATCCTGTTGTGTCGGTTAATGAGATTTCCGGATGAAATCCCGGCTTCGAGCTTCCTCTCTCTTTACCTGAATAATCGTAGCCAGAAACTGAAGATCCGATTGGAAAAGGAGCTTCCGATAGCTTTCTTGGAGGGTGGTTTGTCTGCGGTTTACTGTGGTGTGTCGTTTCGGATTAAACTATCTCTGTTGATCGTTCCTTCATTCCAATATCAATGGTTTATTTAATTTTATTATTAAAATATGTGATGGATGTTTTATCATTTCAAATTGAAATTTCAATTATTAACGTGGAAATTTTTTCTTATTTCTATTATCTCTCATTTCGAACACCTAATGTAAATATTTCTAATTAGATAATTTCCAGAGATTCTAATTACACGAATTCTAGTTTTAGAAAAGTTAGAATTTAAAATTCTAGCAATTATTTATTTATATTTTCAGGTCGGGCAGGAACGGACTACCCGGTGTTAGGCAAGGTACCCTACACGAATTTCTACTGCGACGATCAACCGTACCCAGGTTTTTTCGCGGACGTGGAAACGAGATGCCAAGCGTGGCATTACTGTGACATCGACGGTCGACAAGCGACATTTTTGTGTCCGAATGGCACGCAATTCAGCCAAGCAGTATTCGTCTGCGACTGGTGGTTCAACGTCAGGTGCGAACTCAGCCCCAAATTATACGTTATCAACAGCCGACTATACGGCAGGCCCACGGAGAGCCCGACGAGACCGCATCGCCTCATCACCAAGGAATTGCTCGAGAATATTTTTGTCAGGCGAAAATGAACGAGATTCTAGCGTTTTTCCTTTGATGAATAAACCACTCAGGTTTTGAGATGGTGTTGTCTGATGGACAACAAAATTTTGGGAGGAGATGAGAAGATTAACTGAATTACAGAGGATGGATCAGTAATTATTAATATTTTAATTATTGGAATTTTTAGGAGAATTTTAATTTTGTTAAAAATTAATAGAGATAAAGGTGATCTTCTAAATAAAATTTTTCCATCTTTCAGTTTGAATTTTTGCAAAATTATTATAATATTAATATTACTTAGAGTTTTCTTTAATTTTGTATTTTCTCAATTATTAGTTATATTGAATTTTTGACGTAGATCACTAGTGAACACCCAGGATATTAATTACTGGTCCACCCTATAACAAATACTTGTTTTTCAATGAATTCCAAAAATTTATCCAAATTTTGTCTATAATTCAGCAACAGCCAGTGGAAAATGGATACATTAAAAGATAAAGACATCTACATACTTGATTAGTAAGATATAGTACTTAAGGGATGATGGTTGTTTTGAATAACTATGTGAAATGAATGATTGATACTGTATGACTGATTTAATGATAAATACTAAATAAGTATACTGCAATAGTTAATGTGTGTTTGAAACGAGACAATGAATGTGAATAGTTGCTTTTTTCGATTAAGATTCTGTTCGAAGTGCCACTGAAATCATTTAGTACACTGATTATTACTCTAGAAAGATGTATATGTGCCTTGGAAGAATATTATACAATATAATTTTGCGAATGGTGAGACAATGTATTTGTTTGAAATGTAAAATGCGATTTGTTCATTCTAGATTAAAATATAAATTTTCTCGATTAAAGATTAACCACCCCCTTCCCAAAAAAAAACAAATCATTTCAAAATAGAAAATATTAACATCCAGGTAGAAATTAATCACGTTCGTTCAAGCACCGATGAATACTCGAACGAAAGAAATAAATTTTCCCTGGAAGGAAAGAAGAATACGAGAGAAGAAGGGAAGGAAAGGTTTCACGAGCACGGTCATGGTAATAAAAGAAAAAGATCTAAAGAGGACTGAAGAGGACATCCGTCTACGATCTTCCCTTCGAGTTGGTTTGACGCGCTGCTGCACTCTCGGTGTGGTTCTTAATCGTTGATGAGAACGAACCAGAGGATCTCTCTTCCTCTTTCACCCCCTTCGCAACCCACCCTTATTCGCGTCGTGAAAATAAAGAGCTTTGCCAGTCGATCTTTACTGCTGCAAGTATTCCAGCCAGGTAATACGCGATGGAAGGTGCACCTGTGCGAAAATCAACCAGCCATGCTCTGATCGATCCATGAATCGAGACGCTTCGTATTGTAAACAAGCCTGAATGTCATTATAAACCTAGCTGTTGCAAGGAAATTTTGTTTGGATAAATTGTTCTAGAGGATTGAACGAAATCCTTGAAGATGAGATGCAATTTTACATTTTCCTGTCTAGGCAATTATTATTTTAATTTGGGCGATATATTTCATTTTTTTTTTAAATTATGTCACTCATTTTCAGTTGAAGAAGAATGTATTCTTCTAATACCCGGATCAATCAATTGATCAATAGATGTAAATACGAAACAGTTGATCCTGTTTATTCGCGTTGCTCATGTTTTCGCGATGAAGCGTAGGTGTGTGGTGTTGTGTGGCACAACAATTTCCCGGTTCCATTATTGCTCGTATAATCGCGATCTCGTTTCACATGTAATCGCAATTGTTGCACGTATGACTGATCGTCAATTGGTTCGTTGCTAACCGAAGCGTCAAGCCTTCGGGCGGACGCGAAGCAATTACGCGACTGTAAGACATAAGCTGATCGAATGTATACACACTGCAAATGGTACTCTGCTTTCAATTGCCTGTACTCGTTGCAATTGCAATGAATAATCAGTCGAAACATGATTGGTGCTCCTCAAAATCAATTTTCCAATCTTTCTTCCTTCATTCATATCAAACAACTACAATTTTTAATTTATAAAAAAATAAATAAATAAATGAAAATTATATCGACATGAAAGTAATTTAAATTTTTCTCAATAATATAATAACGATTCAAAATATAATATCTGGAAATTTAATTATGAGGCATTTGGAATGTGGATATAAGAGCATTCGTTGATTCTACCCCTAGCGTCCCAAATGCAGGGAATTATCGAGTGCTTACTCTACTAATTGTACGATAACTGATGCTAGAATCATTATTTTCCTCGGTGTTTTTATATTGAACAAAGGTATTATAAACAGATACTCATAGAAATCGCTAGAAATGATTTGACGTTGAATGTCGCAGACGGAGAGTCGACGAAATGAGAAATTGGTCGGGCGAGGATCGTTTTCAGGCGACAGACCGTGCACGCAATATGTCGCGATCGAACGACACACGTCATTACTAATTGCCGGCAAACCTATCGTTGTCGTATTTCGTTCGGTTCGTCGTGCGTGCACAATTCTATTAGCGGATATCGATTCTGAAAGCGTTGACTTTTGATCGAACGTTGCTCCGCTTTTGTTCTCTTTGTTTTCTATCTCGTTCACCCTTTCAGATGGTCCCTGTAATTCAGGTGCATCGATACTCGGACCAATTGAAAAACCGCCGAGCAAGAATTCTATATGAAAACATTTTAATTTATTACTTTCCTATTTCATAATAAATTCACTTTTTTTTAATTTATGCATAGGGGAAGCTGCGTTGTTTAAATTTAATATCATCTATTAAAAGATGAAAAAAGAAAAAGAAAAAATTCTTAAAAGAAAAAATTTGATTTAATTTATTTATATAAAATAAGTGGAAAAATATTGAAGAATATAATATTCATTTATTCACCTCATTTTTAATTAAAAAATTTAACTCAACAGTAAATTTATGTTATTACTGGAATTATTTAAAGTTACAGAAACTATCAAGTTTATCTTAACTGAAATATATCTGTTAATGTAAAAAACACGTAAGAGATTCGTGGAAGATACGACTTGAATGCAACGGAACGACGAACCTTACGCGAAATTAAAGTAAATTAGTTTCAAAAGTTTCCGATGCGATGTATCTTTAACGAGACAGCCCGCCCTTTAGTAGCCATTCGCTAATGAGGAACGGTTGACGAAGAAAATTGCTGAATAATTAAAAGTTGCTTTTTGTTGAAAATTACGCGATTCCTCGGCACCCTGGCATTTCGAAAATTATTGCATCTATTAAACTCGTTGAAGCTGTCTTCTTTATTACAATAGTTAACCGAAAAACCTATATTACATTTTTTGAGCCTGGAATTAGAATTTTTTAAATAAAAATTTTTAATTTATTTTTCAATTACCCTATGATCTATATATCCAACTAACCAATCCGTAAATTATTCTAACAACATCTGAAGAAAACAGATTGAAATCATGAAATTTACCAGGACCCAAAGCGATCATCTCAACTCCCGGGTAACAGCAGCATACACTACCGTTCCCGGGAAGAATCTTCAAAGAACTCGTCCGATATAAGCCATAGAATTCACAGGTAGCCTCAGGTGCGTGCACCAAAGTCTGATCGCTTCTTCGAGCGGGGAGGGGTTGTACCTTATCCGGAGGGTGGTCGTATTTCGCACACGAATACAGGAAATCGTTTATCCAAAACGGTCATAAAGCCGTGGCCCGAGTGAGAAGAGCATGGAAAGAACGATTGTCGCAGCCGATGGACGAGGATTGGCGGAAGTGTCGAGCGAAGAAGAGGGCAGAGGGTTGTGCTCTAAGAATCCATCAACGAAACTGGTAATCAGCCGGGTCGAACCACTTCCATGGATCCAATCTCGTCTAGCATTTTTAGTCCCGCTCCTTATGCCCCCTCTTATTCTCTTCCTTTCCGTTCTACTTTAGCCGGGCTTCCGCTTTCTGTTCGCGCGCATGCAACCCCGTTCTACCCCGCGATCGCGATACCGCCGTGCCAGCCAGATTCTCAAAGATACCGAAGATAGGCGAGACTTTGTCGGCAAGTTTAACTGGCTCGTTAAAAGTTCTCGATATCGCGTTAGATTCCGATGGATATAGCCGATGGAGACATAATCCCTGGATTGTAATCGTAAAGTTGAAGGTACGTCGCGCACGAAGAACGTATGGTTAAAGGAAATCATTATTTAACATTTTCCAGGTGAACGACGCGAGTCTTTTCATACAAAGAAATCGTTTTCTTTTATTTTAGAAAGCGAAGGACCAACTTGGTCCTGGAGAACATTCGTCGAAGAAAGGGTAGTTTTTTTTCTTCCTACAGGACGTAAAGTCTGAAATTGAGGAAAAGTGGGACCGTGTAGAAAAAAACAGGGCTGGTGTCGGGGGAGGGTAGGATGCAGTGGCCGCCTTTAATTGCAGGACTCGCGGCACTTTTAAAGCCGGATGCAAATGGCCCATAAAACTCGCCGGATCCGGAGGCTGGGCTCATTTACGAGCGCGGAAAGTTTTTAGGTTCGGCCAGGCGGTGCTGCGCGAACGAGAGGGCCTGTTTTATCGGTCTACGAGTTCGAAAGTAATTCTCTTAGTTGGCGGTGAGACCGACAGACTGCGATGCCGGCTTAACTTTCTCGAGGAGAGTCCAACAGGGCCAGCTTTCTTACCGATCCTTCCCGTAAATCCCTCGATCCCGGTCAGGATCGGCGAAATTCCGCGCCTCGGATCAAAACCGTTCCATTTCGAATGATTTCTACTCTTCTCCAACTGTGATCTTTGACCAAGGAGGATAAATAGATTCTTCAGGATTTTATGATCCTTTTTAGCTTATCGGGTCTCTGACGATTTTATCGTAATATTTTTGAAAAATGTCCAAGCTAGGATGAAGGTATCGGGTGTAAAAATAAAATGTTAAAAAGATTTTTCAAAATTTGAACATTTCAGCTTTGAACCACTTTTAGAAGAATGGCTATAACTTTTACAATTCTGAATATTTTTGTATACAAAAATTATATTAATTTTTGCCAAGAAATATACTTTCAAATATGATACCACGAGTTAGAAAAGGATCATTAGTTCCTACCCAAAAAATTCCCAAAGGCACACCTTATTTCAACCCCCAAAGTAGGCATCAAAGACGTCACCCTTTGCTCTAAAACGTCCCAAATTATTTACAAATTTATCTATCTTAAAATGTAAAAGAAATATCTCTGCACAATCAGATCTATCGAAATACCAATATATTTCCTCGTTGACCGTAGCAGAACGAGACAAGACATCCATCGCGATGGCAGCGAGCGAGCTAGATATATCCACGTTCACCAGCGAATTATTTTCGTTCGCATAAACAAAGTCACGACTTGAAAGGGGAGTTTAAATTGTTCGCTAGTTTTACGTGCCCGCGGCTCTCTCTTCCCACACCCCTCGCACCGGTTACCCTCCTCTTTCTCTCTCGTCCCGTTTCAACGCTAGCCACCCCCCTAACCGAGAGGGCATATCTCGCTTGCGCCAGGCGAACCATCGTTCGATCTTCCTCTGTCCCGTAGCAACCAGCATCCCGGCGTTGTTACTGGTGCTGTTGCCGCTGTCCATCAGGAAAGATCCCGGGATGCGAGCCTGCGCTTGAAGCCCATTGATTAACCGTTGTCTGCTGCATGTTGCGAGTGGCCGGAGAGTGAGTGACGAAGAGGAGGAGACAGTTCGGTGGGGTTGATCGAGGGAGAGAGAAAGAGATTCAGTGGCCACGAGCAACGTTTATGAAAACTTTCTGCATCGACTGCACCGTGGCCACGAATAAAATAACGCCCCGCGGATTATTCCAAAACCCACCCCCATACAGCCGTTTCCTTCTGCCGAGCTACGCGACCAAGTTACCCACGAATTAAGGTTGATACTTCATTTCTGCTC